GGTTTAGTCCTCAACTTACGACCGGTTTAGTCCTTGACTTACGACCGGTTGGGGGTCGCGGCATTAAAAAGGTTGAGAACCACTGGGTTGGAGGCTTTCATGGATGGATGGATGGATGGATGGATGGATGGATGGATGGATGGATGGATGGATGGATGGTGGGTCTCTTTCTCCTCCTGCTCTGAATTTGCTGCCCTACTGCATTTTTTTTAAATTACACTACAGCAGTACTCTTTAATATATTTGTTTAAAAATAATCCTATAAACTCAATAGAAATTACAGCCCTATAAACGTGCACAAAGTGGCTGTGAAAACTAATTGACTGCACACTTGTTTCCACTGCAGATGTTTGAGGTCAAATATGTTAATGCTTGTTGGTATCTTAATCCTTAAAATTCCCTAGCAGAAGTTAAATATCTACCCCTTCTAAGGCTGTTTTGTGTCTGTATCATCGGCAACTAACAGGATTCCCTTAGCATAGGAGGAAATCCTGGATGTTTTAGAAATGACATACTTGGTTTACATTGCATTCTGTCAACACAGTTAATGCGGCTACAGGCAGAAGAACATGGACCGGATAATATTGCATTCTGGCAATCTGTGTCTACGAGGAATGCAATCTCTGTGTCATCTGGTAAGGCTTCTCTGTTTTGTGCAAAGTTCCAAATGGCACCTCTTTATTTATTTAAGGACTTTAGGTCAAAACCAACACCGTAATTGTGCCAAGAAAGGACTTGGAAGCCAGTGCAAATATTGGTAACATGCTCTTGGAAATTCAACCAAGAGGCAAATTACCAGCTTGTGCACTTAGCAAGCAGCCAAGCAGTCAACAAGAATATCTCCACCCAGAGCACGTTACAGTAATGTAACTTGAATCTCATCCACCAAATCCAACTTTTAGAAAGGGACACAAAAGTTTGCGAAACAGAGAAGCATGTGTGTTGTTAAAAGAGTATTTACATTTTTAAAAGAACAGCATATCCAATTAAAATGTTACAGTCTGAGTGAAGAAACCTACAAACTGATTTCATATGCTGATGTGTGGTTCATTAAAACTATACAGTTAAAACTATACAGTTTATGCCGTGGATTTGGAAGTAAACTATGTGAATTGGTTTCAGTTTAAAATGTGTCATATTACAATGTAAAACAAGTAGACTGTGATCAAACTGAAACAATTGGACATTTGTTTAACACCACCACACTGTATAGTTTGATGAAATGTAAATATGTTTTCCTGGATTCTGAACTTCACAGGCATCTGAAACATTTTAATGACAATTAGGAATGTTTTCCTGCTTCAGCTTGTGTACCTTGCTGATGTTTGCAAGTCATGCTAGCACTATTTCAGATGTCATCATGCTGCCTTCCAGCTCATTTGGGAGAAGTGACTCTACAAGGCCAGCTGCCAGGAAATCTTTGGCCAAATACATAGGTGAACACATTCTTCTTTCCAATTCCTAGCTAGAAAACAACCAGTGGCAAATCCTACTTCCTGATGTCAGCAATCATACATATTCAAGCAAGGAGGACTGCCAGCTGAGCTGATCTTAAGGCAAACACAACCAATGATGATGGTTACTTGCCAGAAATAGCAACCATTACAAAGTACCTCCATAACAGATATTAAGCTATTGCATCAGTTACCATCTCTTCTTGTGAAAGGGTCTCTGCAATAGGTGGGGTGTGATGCTCATGGGGACAGGAGAGGGAAATCTTTCACCAGCAACCAAATTCTAGTCCTGAATGGAAAACATAGCTAGGGTGAGTTGAGGGTCAGAAGTGCACTTCTTGTCAATTTCTGGATTTTGGCAGTTGCTCCCTGACTTTATTCCAGAGTGCTTGTTTTGCATTCTTCTAGATTGATTCTTAATGCTGAATTTCCATATCTGATAACTAGATACAGATGCAAGCTTCTTCACTGGATTACCTAATGTTAGCGAATGATGTGCCCATCACTACATCTTTGTATGGGCATCTTTATAATGAGCCAAAATGTGGTCACCACTTCTAGTTGCTCATGATCTGAATGGCACAACAGTTTCATAATGGATGTCAATATTGATTCTTTCATTTAAAGGGAAACATTTGCTTGGATTATTAATAGAAAGCATGAGCATTTGTTTCAAACGGCGGTTGTTCCTTTCTCCCATCCTATTGCCTGTCATAATCTACCCCTCACAGTAAAGGTAAAGACATCCTCAAGTTAACCCAAAGGTGCTTTTCTCAGGAGGCAACTAGACCTCCACCTGGATAACTGAGAACCTCTATAGACATTCTCAAGTTAAGCTGAACTTCTAGCATTACATTAGTAAAAAAAACTCAGGCCATGCCCATGCCCTTTCCTTGGCAACATTATGGAAATAGTTTGCTATTTCTTTCTTCCAATATGTTTACTCAACTTTCCAGCCTAGTTTACAGTCCTGAAATTCTCAAGGGATCTCACATCCAAGGTCATTTCCCCACTAAAGACTTATAACACCTTCATTCCATCACTCAGTTATTGCTGCATTGAAGCAATGGAATGTCTGTCCTTACTGCTCTTATTCTGGCATAATAATGATTGGATGATGCTAGAATACTCCAGGGTGCTAGTGGGGAAAGAAGTCAGCTTAGCATCCAAACTGAGACAAGATTGACCAGGTGCTGCCACATACTTAAATGCCTCTCTGAATACAGTAAGGATATGCTAATTCTGTATACACAGGAGAGAGAGAGAGAGGGAGGGAGAGGGAGGGAGGGAGGGAGAGAGAGAGAGGGAGGGAGGCATGACTTATGACAAATTGATTTTATTTTATACATTGGCTCTGGTGTGAGATTAATTTTATCAGTTCTGTCTGGTTTCTTTACAATTGGTGTGAGGTAGATACCCATGTCCTGGGCCAGCCTCCCCTCTCTGCCCCAAGTTGGCAAAATGAACATGTTCTATACATAATTGTATGTGTTCTTGTTAATTTCATTTCTACAAGACTGTTTTTTTTTGTTCTTAATTAGCATTGCTGCTGTAACTCATTGGCTTTAAAATGCCAAGGAACTGAGAACATGGAAAGTCATACAAATCAGTAGTATTCTAGGTAGATGAATATAGAAATGAAAGAAAGTATTTAGAATTGGGTTTATTGTCCATATATCATCTACACATCACACATATTCATTTTTAAATAATAGATTTTGAAATAGCTAAACTAACGTTAGCATATCCAATTTATCAGGATTAGTACGTTACAACGATGTTAGTTCATGATTTCATAATTTGCTATGATTTGGGGGGAACAAAGAGAATCACGTTAGTTTATTAGAAAAGAAAAGGGGAATAACTTAAATGTCATAAAAGATGTGTAACTTTCAGGTTCTCCAGAATATTTCAACAGGAGAGGAAGTATAAGAAGCAGAGGATGAGAGCAAAAAATAGTAGAAACTTCCAAACCTAAGTCCCTTTTTGGTTCCCTTTACTAAATTAGCATCTTAAAGTGAATTCTTCTGCCAGCCAAGGACTACAGTTAATGACCAGTTCTGTTTGTACCATGCACAGATCCACAAAGTAAGCTTCACATTACACAAACCATGCTTATGTGGTTATCTTATGGGACAGAGTGTACGGAGCCCCAGCACTCCAGTTAGGGGAACAAAACCAATGTATTAGCTAACCAGAATTAGGAAATGATCCAAGCCATACAATTGGTGGGGGGGATTGGGGGGGGGGGTTTCCACCGTCCTCAATCCCTTTCCAACGTCCATATATTTTCAATCGTATGCAAGGCATCCAGAAAACTTTTTTTGCTCCTGGTATGGAACGAAGAAGAGGATCGGTCGACGACCTCAGTGTTCAGGCTGTATCTGCTCCTTCATCCCAGTTCTGTCACTGCATTTCCAGATTTCGAACCTTTCTCGGGTATTCCTGAGTGGGAGGACCAGGGATGCAACCAACCCATGCTCGACGAGGCCTCCTGGAGACGATGCCGCTGCTGCTCTTCTACTACAGGGGGAGGACAGAGAAGTCCAGCGCCGCCGGGCCAGTCCCCACTCGCAGCAGCACAAAGCGGCGCGGCACGAGTGGCCGCGGCGCACCAGGGCGTCAGGGGCGCGCGCGCACGCGCTTTCCCCATTGGTCCCGAGGGCTGGCCAGTCCCCGCCTCCGCTTGACGCCGGCCCTGCCGTTTAAATGCCTCCCGACGGGCGCCCGCCGCGCCTT